TGTCATCATTTGTATTCTGGAGGCACCCATCATCTGACAATCGATCACGCAAGTTAACCTTTCCAGATAGGATAAAACGAGACACATTGATCCCTAAAGAAGATCTTTTAGGTGCTATGACAGATAGGGAATACTGGAGAGGTGTAGTGAGTTCAATCTCGACTGAGGCCGCAAGATGATGATGAGTGATAGTGTTCCATTAAGAGACAGTTTATACGCATAGGATTGACTGTTAACCCTGGACTTGAACAGGTTTAGATTGTAGTGATCGAGGAAATATCCTCTTGCATGTAAGTTCCACAGACCTGATATTCGTGGGAAGAAGCTGTTTGAGTGGAACTTACTTCTCACCGATGGAATACGGAGGGAATGTGGGTGGGGTTGCTACAATATAAATGCCATGGCATGTTCTAACCATGACTGGCGGAACCAAGGAATATAATGCGTCTAAGCACTTTAAATGGAAGTAGCTTGCTACATTCCGCCTGTGAGGAAACGGTCAGAGGGTGGAAAATAAGTTGTCACCCAGAAGGACTCTGAGACACATATGGAAGTGCGGACTGGGTAGTTTCCGCCCAAATATGACAAGTTTCCCATTCTCGGTCTGATCTAGCTCTTGTAAAGTTAGAAGATAGCAAGAAGAGTGAGGTACTTACTGGAGTGGTACAGGGAAACATACGGTTCATCGAAGTGTGGTTATCGCGCATTATCTACTGAAATTTAAAGAATATAATCGTCTCACAACTGAAACGACAAATCAAGAGAACACGTGGTTAAACTTTTTATTTAGTTGATTATTTTACTAAAATATTAAAGAGGGAAAATTAGCTAAGGTCGTTCAGTGATTATATCTTAAATCATTATAAACAAGATCGTCTGCGTGTGTTAGAAAATGTAGCGTCCTTTTTCGAGGGCCGATTGGTCGAAAAAAAAAAACAGAAATGTACCAATACAAATTCCCTTGTTTCCGGAGCCTCGTTTTGAACAAGAAATGACAAGTTCATTTCCACAGAAAAAAATAGGGTTTTTTCTTTTTTTTTTCTTTTGCAGAGTCGGATTACAAGCAGTCATATTACATTTGTTTAAATCATTTCACACCATGACGCAAGCGATTACTGAGTATTAGGGAATACGAGAAAAATATACCATTAAGGATAGGGAATGATAAAAAATAAAAAATGTGATTTTTAGTAAACAGAAGATAACAATTGATGTTGCATTTAAATTTTTGAAAATCAAAGTTCATTGGGAAGAGAGTTCCACCAGCGTGAAGCGTGATAGAAGAAACTGTTAGCATAGAACTTACGGTTACATTTAGCCGTTTCAAAGTTAAAATGGTGAGACCTTGCCGCCAATCTAGTACTGCACTTAAAGTCTAGCTACTATATAGGAAAGTTCATCCAAACAATTATCTATGAAAGGCACAGGGAAGCTATGTTACGACGGTGAGAAAGTTACTGAAGCCGACATGCCATGTCAGGACTAATAATATAGCAGATTCTTCTTTGGATTTTATCAAGATCCTAAGGAAAGTTTTGTGTTTCTAAGCGGTGGGCAGCATATGATCATCCGTCCAAAAAATTTAAGAGGCATAGAAATTCTGAAAGTAAATCAAGCAATAATAAAAATATGTAGTGTTGTGCTTAAATTAATAAAGTCTATGAGTCACAACTTGCTAAGAGGATGTGTAACAACAACAACAACAACTCAGTTAAGTCTGTTGAATTCTGTCGGCAGAAGCGATACTCCAGCTTTTTATTCATAGATACACAATATGGCCGACACGATACTTCAAGCATTCGTATTAACAAGTCATTTCTGGCCCCAAATAATAGCTGATTAATAATCGGTCAGCCAATTTGATTTTATGGAACATATCAGATTTATTATTGAGAGAAAAATAAATATTTGTGTCATATGTATAGATCGATCTTTATATCAGGCTTTTCATATCCATCTATGTACTTATCACACTTTTCATATCGATCTATCTATCAGACTTTTCATAACTATGTATCAGGTTTTTCATATCTATCTATCTATCTATCAGGTTGTTCATATCTATCTATTTATCTATCTATCAGGTGTTTTATATCTATCTATCTACCAGGTTTTTTTTTTATATCTATCTATCAGGTTTTTCATATCTATCTATCTATCTATCTATCTATCTATCTATCTATCTATCTATCAGTTTTTTCATATCTATCTATCTATTTATCTATCTATCAGGTGTTTTATATCTATCTATCTATCTATCTATCTATCTATCTATCTATCAGGGTTTTTTTATATCTATTTATCTCTCTTTCTATTAGGTTTTTCATATCTATCTATCCATCTATCTATCTATCTATCTATCTCTCTCTCTCTCTCTATATATATATATATATATATATATATATATCAAGCTGTTTATATCTATCTATCTATCTACCTGTCAGGGTTTTCATATCAATCTATCTATTTTGCCTTTATTGTTATCTCTGTCACCACTTAATAAAGAGGTCTGTAATAACAACGACAACGCAGTTTAGCCTGGTGACTTCTTTCTGCAGAAGCAATACTTCTTTTTATTCACACATACACAATATGGCCAACATGGTACTTCCGTGTCTGAACAATGGTTGAAACGGTACTTCCGGTTCCTTAGTTTCCGATTAAAACATAGGTACCTTAGATGTCCTTCCTTTACTTTCAAAACTTACTTTATACTTAAATCCGTGAAAGTTGTTCTCTTAGAATTTATTCCCGCTTTTCTAAAAGCCAATTTCATTGTTTATATATTAATTTTATTCAACTCATCTACGTGAAGCCTTATTTTTCCCGCTCATTTGACCATTTTGGATACTGTAGGTATTTACTTGGTTTCGTGTGTAGACGCTGAAATTTTCCAGTATAATTTATTTTAATGTTCTCACCCCAAGCAAGATGGTAAAGACATTCAGACGTAGTGCAATTCTGAACTTGAAATAACTAAAATGGGAAACCCCTATTGAGGACATTAAAGGCTTCAGTCACTTACCCACCACCTCTTTATTTCATTTTACAAGTATTTTCATGGTAATTGTTCGGATAAGCTCTTTGCTATGGTGTCTAGACCTTTTCGAATTTAAGCGCAGTTACCTGGCGTCAAGATCTTATCAATTTATAGTTAAGCTGGCTTAGATGTAGCCACAAGATCTATTCGAAAAGTTCTCACACTTCTCGCTTGTGGAACTCACTTCCGACTCCCTGCTTTCCAGCGAAATTTAATCTGAAAAAAAATTAAATGTGTCATATAGGGAAAAAAAGCAACTACCGACCCCGAGGTTCGAACGTGACACTCTGGACTTATGAATATATATTTCCCACCAGCTGTATAAATAGCGGTGTCAGGCTACTGACTGTAGTGATTATTGAGTGACTATTGAATGGAACTATCCAGTCGAATTAGTGTGAATTATTATACGTCGATGATTTGCGTTTTGATTTAGGATTTACCGGACGTTAAACCGAGCGGCGTTACTAACAAGGGATTCACTGAAATGGTTAATTATCTTTAGATGATTTTTACTTCATTGCTCTTGGTAAGTATTTATTTGCGGTTGGAATTAAATACTATTTTATCTAAACATTGAAGTCTTGAATTATATGGCCACCGTGCATAATAAAAAAGCAATGTCAATCGCTATCGACTGTCCTCCTGATTACTCTTTTTTTCTTTCTGCTCTTTATTAATGTTTCTGTTCCTTATTCCTCCACACACCTTAACACCCACCGACTTTTAGTGGCTTTACTGCCTTTTTTGGAGTTATACCGATTATCGAAAGACCAGGATTTAAAGAAACAGAAAACGAGGAACTTAACATTTATAGCGCATTCTGAAGGGCAGCAGAGATCAGGGAAAATCAGTGAGTCACTTGTCTGAATGAATGGCGCAACGGTAGCTTTAGCAAAGATAGAAAAACTGTTAAGAACCACACGAGATTGGACGTTGTGGAGAGCCATTATTCGCATAGAGATTTCCACAACCGAGAAGTACGAAAGCATAGTTTTTACGGTTAGTGCACTTTGTAAATTATAGTTTACTTATTTTAGCCAGTGAGAATTTCCCCGTACACCTATTTGAATTTTCTGATGAATTTAAATTCTTCAGTTAATGATTGAATAAGCTCATGGCGAGTTCTACGACAATAAAATGTCAGTAAAAGTTTCCCCTAGCACATCGTTAAATATTTAGGTTTGGCAATTTTTAAAAAATATTGCAATGACAATCAAAAATAAGAATGCTGGCCGTTATTTTAAGAAGGACGTACAAATGAAAAGATTTGTAACTGACAATTTTTCCATTTCACTGAAACAGACGTTAAAAAATCTTTTCTTCCTTTCATTTTTCAAACTGAAACCAAGTAACGTTTTTGATATGTATTTTGTCTTCTCACGTGATCCAAACGGAATAGGGCATTATTTATGAGGTATTGGCAGACGTGAAACACTTCTAGCGTTCTTTCTTTCATTTTCTCACTAAAACCAAGTTGCGTCTTTGATGTTTGTTTTTTTTTTTTTGGTTTGTTTTTTTTGTCTTCACACGCGATCAAAACGGAATAGTCCATTATTCATAAGTGATGAGCAGGAAACATTGAAGAGTTCTACCTAAAATCTCTCCTTAATCTCTTTCTTCTAGTACATTTTCTCTAAAAAAAAACAAAAAACGTCTTTGATATGTCATTTGTCTTTCTACGCTATCAATATAAAATAGTCCGTTATTTATGAGGTATTGTCAGTGTGTAACGGTCACACAAACTAAGGAAATAATGAAGGGAAGGACGAGCACAATTATTATATGAGAAATATAGCTTCGTTATACGTGTCAAAAAAAGATGGCGTCAGTTTGAACGAACGCCTGAAGGATATAGGTTAAAAAGTTCTTTCTACTGAGATTTATGCAAGACGACCGAAATTATTCTTATTAATCATATTTTTTTTCTTTTTTTGTGGCTTTAATCACGATGTCTGGAGGATTAGCATTAATTCATCTGGCTCTGTGTATCGTAAAGTTCCATAAAATTATTACAGGTCCTATCTCTGTAACTGGGTTTGAGTGGTGTTTATACCAATTTATTGCAGATTCCTTTCCGTAAAACTTGCAGATTTTCCAATGCAGATATTGGCCCACTCTCGCAAGCCGGGTATTATATTCAGTGGTTTCCAATACCATGCAACCCGAGAAAAAGATGGTCAGTTATTTCTGGATATCTATCACAAAATATGCATTTTGGTATCTGTCTGTATTTCTGAGATAAGGTATTATGTACACTATTTACATTATTCGGACTATTGTCCTCATCTTTATCGCCATATTTATTACAACGTTTCGGCCTTTCAGTATCTGTCCATATTTCTGAGATGAGGCATTATTATGTACACTATTTACATTATTGTGACTATTGTCCTCATCGTTATTGCCATATATATTACAACGTTTCGGCCCTTCAGTATCTCTTTATATTTCTGAGATGAGGTATTATGTACATTATTTACATTATTCAGACTATTGTTCTCATCTTTATCGCCATATTTATTACAACGTTTAGGCCTTTCAGTATCTGTCTATATTTCTGAGATCAGGTATTATGTGCACTATTTACATTATTCGGATTATTGTCCTCATCTTTGTCGCCATATTTATTACGTTTCAAGGACACATGGCACAGTGGATTAAGACGTTAGTTAGATCCAGTGACAGGACCCAAAGTGTGTGAGTTCAATACCCGGTTAAGGCAGTGGAGAACTTGCAGAGGGGAATTAACAGGGGATAACTGATAACTAACATCCATTAAACATGGCACGTGGAACTAGAACAGTCTACCCCAGTGAGAAGGGTTCAGTTCGACATTCCAACCACCTATAGATGGCCGGGGCGTACAACGGCCGAAACGTTGTAATAAATATGGCGACAAAGATGAAGACAATAGTCTGAATAATGTAAATAATCTGCCTTTTGGTCTAACAGTATGTGTACTCGGTAATTTCAAGTTCGCAAGAATTGGCCCCGTGCAGCAAGAATAAAAGACCTTCGGTTTCAGCTTTTAACCCTGCACTATGTAACCGCTGATGTCAACATCAGCTTGTTTGGTACGGACAGTGTATTGAACATGAAAAGGTTTATGTTGCCATCGTTTTTGCATTTGGTACAATGCATTTACTTTTGCCGTATGTTCTTTGCCGCTGCATTTTTTGTTTCCCATGTCAGCAGTTCTTGCTTACGTTTATTCTAGTGTCGCGAAACATTGTAATATGCTTGTTGTGTTTTAATTGTACTAAAATCTATCTTCCTATTTAAATTTATTCTAGACGGTATTAAATATTCTTGTTAATAGTACTTTCTACCCACCACCAGTTTTTGGTTAACAGCATGATAGACAAAGAAATACAGGACTTAATTTTTTCTTCCTAATTTCTTTTTCACTGAGAAAAGAAACCTTTTTTTTCTTTTTGCTTTAAATTACCCCTGCGATCCGTACAATTCAAATAATGACGCATCATTTGAACTAATGAAGCAAATTTTGAAATTATTTCCCATCATGCCTCACTTGTTTTTATAGCCGATTTCCTGGAAAAAGAAATTTCCAACAAAGATACTTGTTACCATTGGTTTCATGAAAGGCACCACTAATGAACTCTTTCAAGATGTCAATACAGCGATTCTTTTAAAGAATGTGATATTCTTTTATGTCCACAGAAGGAATCCATAGGGAAGACGTCAAAGCAACCAGAAATCTGCGACCTGAATTGAGAAATTATCGACTTGTTGGGAAATGTAATTATTTATTTGAAAAGAATAAACAGAATTATTTCCGAGTTGTATGACTGGCCGCTTGTTTTCGAGTATGCCCCTCTGCTAGGGTGACGCCTGTTCAGGCACATTTGTGCTTGTTCAACACGCAAAAAGACCCCTTACACTGCAGCTATATTGAGCGGATGTTCGTCACATTTTCTCGAGGAGAGCACATAACCTGGCAGTTTGCTCAGCTTTTTGAACAAGGACGTTATACTCAAACCTGCGCTCACGATAACTTGTGACTTCTTGCGAACATAAAAACCGATGATATTTATCATAACAAATTTAACATATAAGATTTTCGGTCAACCCGTCCGTCCTGGGTATGACGATAAACTACGTCCGCGTCCTGGGTAAGACGATAAGCTACATCCAACAGCGAGGCCTCTGGTCAGGAGGTTTTGAGGATCGTGGAAGCACCTCTCAATTGCTGATGATCCCAGGTCCGCCCTGACCCGGGGTGGTAGCACCTGTTAGGGTCCCAGGTATGGGAAAATAGTTAACCACGAAACTGGGGTCAAAACACTATAAAAATGTAAAAATAGGTTTTAATGCCAGAAATATTTTGTAAAAAAGTATTACCAGCAATAAATTTTTGAAGAAAAAAAACTATTACCAGCAATATGTTTTTGACAAAAAAAAATATTACCAACAATGTTTTTTTTAAAAAAAAATAT